AGCATTCAGTGATCTAATTATGACTGACACAATTGAAACTTCTGAAAGTCACACTTTAGTTTTCTTTCTATAAACAAATAGTTGTGGCCATGTGTAAAGGCAGGAATGGACATGGTGCAGGTTTTCTATGATCCAGCAGACCGGGTAAAGGAGGAGTCAGGTTCCTCAGTGGTTTTGCAGGTTTTGCAGGTTTTTATTGGGATTACCAGGTACATGGCAGGCAGGAGTACTGGGGGGCTCCCAGCCCCCAGCAGGTCTTCCTTCTTATGGGCTCTCCGACCTTCTCTCAGCTTCTGCTTTGGCTTCTATTGGCATCCCCGTGACGTTGCCCTTAAAAAGCACAGTCTTAGCCCAGCTGAACCCCATCTACCTATGCCCACACCCTGTTCCAGATGTCCACCATCAGGCATGCATTCAGAACCGCAAGGATCCATCATCTATCCTGATGGCGGGAGGGCAGAAAAGCCTGACATTTTTCCTTACCCTACACCATGTATATGTAAGTTCTTACTAAGTCGGGGTAAGGGTGCAGCACTGAATTAAGGCAAGCTATGGTTGCCCTCCAGACACATACCCTGGCATCCACTTCGCCTGCAGGAAGAGGCCAGAAGCCAAGCTTATATGGCAAATTAAACACAGTGCAGGCCGTGGTTAGAAGCCCAGTGAGAGCTGAGATAGGTATGACTGGTGATCTGGAGGCTCCATTGCAAACCTGGGCCCTAGGTCAAATGAACAAGCCCAGAAGTGTAAATCCAGAAGCAAGAACAGGGGAGGAGTAGGATACACAGATAGGAAGGATTAGGAACTGCCAGGCCTCTCTGCAGGTTAGGCCACACCGACATCTGAGCCCACTGTGGGAAGAGAGAATAGACTCAGGGAACTAGAAAGACAGAGAGAACACAAGGTCTTCACAACTGAGAGCAGGCCAACAAAAACATTCCCATTTTACTGACAGCAGTAAAAAAAAGACAGACCCTTAGCCTGGGGCAAATACTCACATTCTAAGGAGAGGGACAGGTGCTTCCTGAATTTCAGGCCTGACTCTCATCCAAATGCTAATGGATCGCATCTATAATCCCACTTCATTATTAAAGGCAACTGGGAAACCTCTCAAATAGCCAAAGATAATAACCAGTCTCAGAAAAGCTGTCAAGATTAATTATACCTCTATTCGTATTTACATCGGAAAGACTTTTTCTAAAAGAATTTTTTTAAATATAAGACTTAAACTTGATTGGAAATTTCTGCCATGAAGGTGTTAATGTTAAGGAATAGGGGTCATTGAGTATAAAATCAACATTCAAATTTCAGTCACACAAAATTATACTTACCTTTGGTTACAATCAAATTCTAAACTTGTCTAAACCAATGATCAGTCTAGTTCAGGGTTTACCAAACTATCATCTGGGGATCAAATGCAGCCTATCATCCATTTTTATAAATCAAGTTTTGTTGAAATATAGTCACACCTACTGGTTTACATATTTTCTGTGGTTGCTTTGGGGCTACAAAGGCAAAGCTGAGTGGTTGTGATAGAAACCATATGACCCTCCTAAAATGCTTACTGTCTGACTCTATGGAAAAAATGTGCTGACCTCTGAAAGAATCAGTAGAAGAATAAACTGAAGACAAGTAGATAAAATTTGTTTCTCTGCCATTAAGAATTTTTTAAGAGTTCATTCATTCATTTGAAAATAGTGAGCATTTAGAATGCATTTTAGCCTTAGTATTTCCCAAACTACCTTAGGGACAGAACAGTAGAGAAAACCAGAAGACTTACCCTCAACAACCTTACAGTTTAGTGGAGAGCAATTAACTAAAATAAATACACTATATGGCATGTGCAGATATGCCCTTTAAGCTGACATAAATCAGTATTGAAGAAAAAGTGGGCTTAAATTTGTGCTATTTTCTGAAAAGTAGTGCAGCAGGGACCTTGGTTAATGTGGTATTTGAGCAGAGATCACCACCCCCTAAAATTAAGGATGTAAGACTTGCTTTCAGATAAGAATGTCCTGACAGAAGTAACAAAGAAATGAAAGAAATGAACAAAGAGATAAGATCATTCTGGATATAGTCAAAGAAAAGTAAGAAGGTCAGAGGACTGATTCAAGGAGAGAATGGTGAACAGCAAACAGAAATGAATTGGGGGCGGGGGGGGGGAGAGCAGGTATTAGACATAATAGAAGACTTGGATTTTACTCTGTGAAATGGAAAGTTATAGAAAGGTTCCCCCTCAAAGAATGAAGTCATCTGACTGATGTTCAGAAACACTCTCTCTGGTTGTCCTGTGTCAGACAAGGGACAGATATAGAGGCTGGGAAAGCAGTTAAAAGACTATTAGTCAACCTTTGCTAAGTTTTGCTGTTATAACAAGAAACCCCAGTACCTTGATCATTTAGAATCACTCAACATCACTAAGGTTAGATGTTGGCTGTTACTTTCATTGATATTTCTATGATTCATATAGAAAGAACAATTCCAATCTGGAATACCTCTGGGCCCCAAGCTGGAGGGAAAGAAGAATGGCAGAACATGGTCTTAAAGCCTTTGCTCAGCAGCACATGTCATTTCCACACACATTTCACTGGCCCTAAGAAGACACCAAAGGGCCACGTTTTTGAAATAAAATCTAGCCCTTATTTTCCTGCACTTAACACCCACTTCCTTATAACGTCTATTCTCGATACTTTTGATCTTAGATGGTTAGGGTCTTTCGCTGCATGAGTCTTACTGCAGTGATTAAGAGGATAAACTCTAGAGTCAGGCAAAGCTTCCTGAGATTTCTTGGATTCTCTTCTCAGTGACCTTGAACAAACACTTAATATCACTGTATAATCTGTAAAATGGTAGATAGTATTTTCCCTGTGGAATGTTTATAGGATAAGAGATGTTTCTAGAACATAATACATGTTCATACTAACAGTAGCTCCGATTTGTAAAGTAAGACAGAGAGGGAAAAGTTAGGGTGAATGCAGAGGGAAGGGCCAGCACTGTAAGTAACTTTAGTTGATTTGAGAATATATGCCCAACATGAACCAGGTCCTTTGCTTTCTTTCACTTCCTCCTCCCAACAGACCTTGTGGAATGAGATTTATCACCCTTACTTTATGGGTCAGTAAGTCAAAGCACACAGCAGTAAGTGATTTTTCCAAGGTCACTAACCTTGTGAGTCTAAGAAGTAGGATGCAAACACAAGTCTATTTGAATTCAAAGCCTGTGCTCAAATAAATTGGATAAAGAACATAAAATTTTAGTGTTGCATGCTATTTATAGTGCACTTATTTTTGATAGCATCAACTATCATAAAAGACTGATAATGTATGAAAGGCAATCTGTGAATGTACTTCTAAAAATCAGTGAGAGTGCTTCGTTTGCTCCATGCAGGCAGATCCTTCTTAGAGGACATATGCAAATGCAGTACAGAATCAGAAAGCCTTATTTATTCCCTAGAATCGGGAAAATAGCTTTCTGGCTTGGATATTAGAAAGCTACATATTGTTTAAGAAGGTAGAAGTGCCTTGTTGATAGTGTAGTGTGGTACATACACTTGAAGGGTGTGATTCTTATCCCTCTGAATCATATATAGTACTGGAAACTAATGTTACCACAATAAAAAAAAAATTAGAAGGCAGAGAAGATGGTTAAAAAGATTCAGACATAAAGAACAAGAGTGGAAATTCCTACTTGAAAGAAGAATATGAAAAGGATAAATGTAACTGAAAAACAAAATATGATTATATGAAACCACAGTAGTGTTGACTGTGATATAATTAAAAATAAATGAGATTGCACTTGAGACCAGGTCAATAAGAAAAACATTTAAAAAAATAATGCTCAGGGCTAGTAAATATGCTTTGAAATCTGGTCCTTTATATATTACTCCAAGCAATCTAAGATGAAAAGTGGTTTAGAAAAACACAAGAGACTGTAAAGGTATTCTTGTTCTTTAATTCAATAGTTCCCTCCCTGAGAATTCATTCCTGAAAAATAATTCAAAATATTAGGGGAAAATGATGATTTTTTTAAGAATTATTTGAAAGGTAGCTCTTAAAATGTGTCTAACAAAACAATGGTTAAATCAATAATGATATTTCTACTCCCTAGAATTTTATACAGATATAAAGCTTATGACATACACATTTTTTTGAAAATATAGATTGAAGAATAAAGTGCTGATAAATTTTACAATGTGGATGAACCTTGAAAGCATACTAAGTAAAAGGTGCGAGACACAAAAGGCCATATATTTATATATTATATGATTGCATTAAAATGAAATGTTTGGTTTAAGCAAATTATGAAGACCAAAAGTAGATGAATGGTTTCCTAGAGTTGGGTGTATGAAATGAGGTAGAGGTAGGGCAGTGGGGTATGACTACTAATAGGTATATGTTGGGTTTTTTTGAGGTGATAACAATATCCTTACCTAGATTGGGATGATGGTTGCACATATCTGTCAATATAAAGCGTTCATTGTACACTTCAATTGGATGAATTATGTCTTGATAACAGTATCTCTTAACAATGATGACAAAAAGACTATTTACTGTAGTTAAGACTAACTTACACAAATTCATGAAAAACAAACTAGAGTAAATATAACCACATGCCAACAGTACCTGGTTCAGAGGATGAATTTATAGGTAAACCTTATTATTTATCTTTTTGTTTAAATTTTTTATAATGTGATTAGATCTCTTTCATTATGAAAAAATAAGTAGGTAAAATTAACATATATAGAAACCATTCTCTTCATAGTTGTACCTCCCCTTTCACCAAAATCTAATGTTTTGTTGTTGTTTTTTTACCTTGCTAATAAGTCTAGAGTCAGAAAATTTAGAGTCTAGCAGCTTTTATAACCTCTTCTCTGCATTTAAGATTATGTGTTACAATTCTGTGAATGAAAAAGAAAACCATATTAATGGGTGTAATCCCAAAGGAAAAAAATGTGCACATTAAGATTCTGACATTGAATACACACTTGTTGTTATTTTTAGGAAGTGATAGAAGCAATCGCTGAGTGTGCGTTTAAGACTTCACCTTTCCCAATTCTCCTTTCATTTGAAAACCATGTGGATTCGTAAGTATTTGATAAATCTCTCTTTCCCAAATAGAGCATATTTAATAACTGTTCATCAGATTAAGATTATTTGGCATGATTAATGGTGTTCTTCAATTATGTTATATGTCAAATGGCACATTTTCATCTATATATGATTGAATTCATTTGTTTAAATCTCATTTACATTTACATTAAAATAATCCATTGGACTGTGGAAACTATTTTCATGCCATATTAGGAATTTTAAACTAGTAAGATTCCTTTTTCACGATGCAGTACAACACATTTCCTTTCACAATATGTATCTATTGCAGTGGGTCAGTTGAATAATCTTCCTTCATTAGTTCCATTCATCACACACGAATTTATAGTCTTCCACACTAAAATGGCCAGTACCCCACAGGTTGGAGTGTGGAGGGAGAGCTATAGCTCTATTCTGCCACTATGCACTTACACAGAACTCACAGCCTCTGTGCTCAACACTTGCCCCTCCCATTGGTTTCCCTGCTTGTTAATATTTGTAATAAACATTTTCTATTTGAATAGCCTGCACTTACTACTGAATGACACTCAGAAAGACAGTTTTGGCTTAACTGTTTTATATTCAGTTGATCACAAATTACTAGAATAGCACACATTTATATGTAATACGTGGATATAGCTACTCAATTTAAAGAGCTTCAAAATGAAAGATTCTTCCCTTTATTGAATTAAAATTCAAGAAACTAAAATCCCAGTTCATGGAATTAATATCTGAAGAACATGTGGTTGTAACCATATTTCCTCAAAAGAACATTTGTAAAGCCCTCACTTTCATTTCTACTATCTAAGCCAGATCTCTCAGCTGTAGCCAATAGCACCTTTCCTAAATTGGCTCATGAATATCTTTTTTTCCCTGCTTCCTCTTGAAAGTCTTTCCCAGGTCACTGATTCCCTTTGTCCAACTAATTTGCAACACATGCATCAGTTCATTAATTCTTAAAGAATTCACTGAAACTTAAGCAGTTTGAGCTTCAGCTTGAGGAATTTCTAACTAGTTAAATGTCACAATTTGTTAATGTGTGCGTGGAGAGACACCTTATTTGGAAATAACCAGTTTTATAATCACCCCATATTCTAGTTTGCCCTCAGGAAATCCATATTACATTTACCAGCTTGTGATTCTGCTTCATTCTGAAACAATCAGCCAATGAATAATGTCATCATTTGGCACATAGTTTCTCTAGCATTTATGAGGGCAGTTGAAGGGAAAAGAATGTATTTCACTTCTATTTCCCTTCTAACTAAAAGGAACACTTCCTAGTTGCTGTATTTAATATCTCATTTGCTGCAACAACTCTGATTTTGTAGATGCCTTCCCAGGAACATTCTCATCTCTACTCATCCCTTTGTAATTGGGCTCTAACAATTCGTTAACACCTTTCTTTCAGACAATAGAGTTTCCAGACTCATTGGCTGATGTATTTCCTTTTTGAAGAAAAGACATCTAGCATACTTATTTTCTTAAAGAAATGTTTCTATATAAATTATACAAAATGAAAAACCCTGTATCCATTCTTATTGTCATTCCTGTGACACTGAACTCTCCTATAAGGTAGCCAAAGTATCTAACACCACCACACCATGAACATGATGGAACTAATATCCATTGAATATATATTATGTCAAGCAGCATTCCAAGTAGAAACTCATGTAACCTTCACCCCAAACTTATGTGCTCCTAAAAAGAAAGGTTGTGATTATATTTATAGATGAGTGTCTAAGGCAGTGAGTAATTTGCCAGCTAATCTGGCTTCAAATTTAATAGTTTAACCAAACATCATCCCCTATACCTAAGCAGAAGCATTGTGAAACTTCAAAACATAGAATTAAAACAATTTGCATACCAAAACAGGTGTTTGCAAATGTACACATTTATGTGGCTTGTGACTCTTAATCACAGGATATTTTGGATTTTTTGCAGTCTTCAGTGCCAGTCAGACACAGAGCCAGTACTGGGCATGAAAACTAAATACTACGTTGTACACAAAAGCAAAGATGATAGTGACATAATACTACCCCTTCTGTTTTAAAAATGAGAGATTTAGCTATTAAAAGCTCATTAATGATACAAGTGTAACAAAAGGAAATAGGAAAACCTTCCCAGGATGCCATGATTTTTATCCCAAAACATTAGGTAATATAATGGTAGTAAAATACTAAGACACTGAATTGTATTGTGGGAGGAAGTTGTTTGCTTCGTATTTCGATTGTCCTTGATATCAAAATCACTCAGCTTCAGTTCTTGCATAGGAGAACTGTCACAGACCCAAAGAAAACTGATAGGTTTTCTCTCTACTCGTGAAATCTTATGCTTGCCAAGTGGGTCACCTCATCTCATTGCTGAACCCAGAGGCAGACACTTCAGCACTCTGCCCCACTAAATCTAAATAGAACCTCAGAATCCTTGTAAACACAGTATCGAGGGACATACCCCCAAATATGTCTGAAATCCATTTGCCCTCTCTAGTGAAACTTTTTTTTCCTCTGGTATGCTGCAACTACAGAATACCAAATTCCAACTCTGGTCTCACCCAATTTGGACCATATCATCAGAATAAACTCACAAAGGAAAAAAGAAATCCACTGAATGCCCTCATGTTCGCTCCAAATATCTGAAATCATTTATCCAATAAGGGGAATCTTCCATTAGCAGCTTTTAACTTATCCCTCTCCCCCTTCTACCTCAGATCCCCATAAGGAGCAGATTCTTAACCCACCTCCCATGCCTGAATGCAAATTTATAGAAATGAGTCTTTGATATATCAATATTTAAAAAACAAACAGAACTTTGTGAACTCTGATACTGCACCTAATTGGCGAACTGATGATTTCATTGAAGGACTCTACTCCGAGTTCAAGGAAAGTAACCTCTGGCTCTGGTTTGGCCACACTGGAATGTTGGGCCAGGCCCCTCATTGCTTGAGCTGAACATTCTTCATCTATAAGAGGAGGAAACTGGTTTGAGTTCAACTTGGAGAATTTACACCACACCATGGGCCACGTTCGTTCCTTGATCGGAAAATTGACCGTTTTGGCAGGTGCCTCCACTTTAGGGATAGTTTAATAAGTCCAATAGCCCACAGCTCAAAATATTTTTGTGACTCTTGTTCCTCTTGTTTTATCTCCATGGTATCTGATGTTGATGTTGTAAATGCTTCAGGATTTTTTGTTTACTCTCTAATGGCAATGATGATATCTTTTATATCTAGTTCTGATCCACAATTAAAGTTGTTTTGTTTTCCTGTGACTCTATCCCATTTGCTCTCTGTTCTGATCAGTTCCCTGTTTGGTAGGCTTGTGTTTGTGGGAAAAAAATGAATAACCTAATTACTGAACAGCACATTTTAGATTTTTTTGGATACCTACCACTTTTTCTTTTCATCTCCATTGATTTTGGACCAGTTTTTAAAAGTTTAGGTCAGATTTAAATCCTTGCTGTGCACAGTGCAATTGATCTGCATCATTTGGGGCCCCTGCCTTAGACTCTGCCTGGAATCTTCATTTTATTAAGACCTCGAGTGACTTGAATGGAGCATTAGCATTCCACTATGGTCTATTAACCACCTGTATCTCCATTCCCTGCAGGCTTGTTACAAATGCAGGGCTCTCTCCCCAGCTCAGAATAAGGGTCCTAAGTCCAAGTTTGGCACCCACAGCATTAACATTCAGGTGACTTTTTAGTGGAATTGATATGGGGACTCTGTGACACTGTACAAAAGACTCTGCTTTCCACCTACTTAGGGACACCTCCCAAAATCATTCTACGGGCGAAAATAGATTCCTCAAGAAATCCCCAAAACAGAGCATTAGGGTAAAAACCACTGTTTGACTCCAGGTGTCCGAACAAAGGAACTTGAGGCTCCCAAGTTGGGACTCTCAAGAAAAATACCATCTACTTGACATTGTTGACTCACTTTATCACAGTGGTTCTCAAACTTGAAAGTGCATCAGAATTACACAGAGGGCTTGTTAAGATGCAGACTCTGGGCCCAACTTCCCCCAAGATTCTTATTCGGAATCTGTGTTGGAGACTTCAAATCTGCATTTCTAACCAGCTCCAGTTGCTACTGATGCTGCTGGCCTGTGAACATTTAATAGCTTTTTTCAGTGAAAGTAAAATGGAAGATTTGTTTCATACAAGCGGGAACACATGGGCCCAGCACAGTGAGCTTGTCTCAGGTATAGCCACTGAGCCCCACTGACACTGTTGAGCACCTGGGCCAGTGAGGCTTCTAGCAAGCATGTTTGCACTGAGGATGCCTGGGTGCTCCAGCAAGAGAGCTACTTCTCTTGCTTGTTCCAGACTTCTAACAAGTTGTCAGTCAACAAATGCTCCAGTGCTTTTGAAAATCTGTTCTCTGATTGGCAGGCTTTCCTCTCTCCCTAAAGAAACTGCTGTATGTTCTGAGCACAGCTTAAGCCACATGGTGAAATCTCATACAGGTCAGGAAAGGCATGATGAGACCTGGGAGGTTGTTATATAGGACATTGCAGCTTCTGTGAACCTCTGTTTTGCCTCTCCCTGTAGTTCCAAGAAGGCAATGATCTCAGACTCATATTTGAACCCTAGAGAACTCATTTGGTCCTCCCAAATATATACCATGCTTTTTTTTAAAGGGCTATCAAAAGACCTTTTCCAGTGAACCACTGTAATAGGATTTGAACTTCCAAGGCACCATCCCCCAGGAAAAAAAAAAAACAGTTCATGATCCAGCCTTAACATTCATAGAAGAGAAAGTAAAAAAAGAATCACATCTTATAATTGACTTGAATCATAATAAAGAATGTTCTTCATAATTTACTTATTCTTCCAACAGTCTCAGTTCTTTTAAAATGTATTAACACCGTAGCATGTAGGGACAACTATTGGAGATCAAATTTGACAGCCTGTAGATCAAAATCACAGTCCATAAAACCCAGGGAAATTGCGTACCTTTATAATGATATTTAACATTCTGCAGAATGAGATTTTTCCTGCTTTTTAAAAGGTCAAAGGAAGTAGGTATTGGAAAAACATGGATGCTCTTTCATATCAAACCTGCAGCCACAGCCTTTTTCCATCAGAACATGTTCCTTTGGACATATAATTAGGCTGACACCACTTTTACTTCCTTATTATGCACATAAGAATTGCAGATACCTTTTCGCAAGGTGCCTGCTTCTTTGATCTTTTCTATGATTCACTCCCAAGTGGACACAATTCTGCTACCTGCCATTTCTCTTCCTCATTTTGAGGTTGCTCTTCCTTCTCCCGCCCAACCTCCCTTTCCTGTTCTTCTTGGTCCTTTCATCTCTCCCACCTCCCTTCCTTCCCTCTCTTTGTCTTTCCTTCTCCCATTCTCTGTCCACCTTCTTTCCTTCCTCCTTCTCATCTCTGCCCTCACCTCCTGTTAACATGCCTTTGCAGCAGAGATCTCTGTTTGACAAATCTCACCCAAGCATTCGCCTGGAGGTATGAACTATCAATAGTTCACATCCAAGTGTCTTGTATTTGACTTAGAATCAGGAAATGAAACAAAAGGGACTGAGTCTCTGATTGTAGGACATTCAAGAATCCAGTGACAGGCAAATGACTTGCTGTCCCCTCCATGCATGTCTGTGGGGTTCAGCCTTAGAAATAGCTTCTACCGTTCGCCTGTGTGTTATACGAATCCAGGATCATCAACAAGGGGTTGTAAAGGATAAAAATGACCCTCAATGGCAGGAAGAGGAAATTAACCTCATTCTATGATTAATGACACAAAGTAATCCTGTCCAGACTCTTTGCCCAAGTGTCCTTGCTTTTATTCTTTCCTTGTCATCCTCTCGTAGCCCAAAGCAGCAAGCCAAGATGGCCGAGTACTGCCGACTGATCTTTGGGGATGCCCTGCTCATGGAACCACTGGAAAAATACCCAGTAAGAAGTTTTGATGTTTACCCCTGAAGGAATGCATGTGGTTGGAGTTAGGGGGAAACTTCCTTACGTCCTTTCCATGTTTAGATGTCTCTGTTAGATTAATGCTTTGCCCAGGTGGATAACAACAGTGTGCCCCGCTGCTTGCTTCCTCGGCCATGGTATTCTCTTCCTTGCCAGAGGTGACCCAGCCAGGACTTCAGAATTGCCACAATCGACATCAGTTCACAGGGACAGTCCAAGAGCACAGGGCTCTCTCACTTCCTGGGGAACCTTTTCACACCCCTTTGAGAGAAATGGGTCAACAAAATGGGACATTGCAGGTGGCACAATGACACGCTGCCTATTGCTGCTGGCCATTGCCAATTTCCAAAGGCTTGGGCCTTTGCTGTAGCAGAACTGAGGCCTTCCACGGCTGGACTAACATCCCTGCTTTGGGAAGCAAAGCAGAAATATCCTAATCCAGTCTTTTGCTCTTAGACCCTTTCTCCACACATTCTTAACATAGTTTCATTCCAGCCCCAGACTCACCATAAGCAAAGAATAGAGAGCCAACTTTCAGGAGTCCAGTAGACTTTCTAAAAATAACCCATCTTGAGATTGGCACATATACAGTATCTAATAACCCTCTCATGGGAAATTGATTTTCCCATTAGATGTACAAACTAGAAACTCGAGAAGTATGGCTTGCAAATAATGGTGGCTTGATTCTCAGGGATGGAAGGAAATTTGAAGCCACCCAATCCACTTTTGCTAATGCCAAGTAGATTACAAATTAGATACCTTCTGCCAAAATTGGGATTTTGCTGTTTTTAAACTGCATTAGAAAAGTCAGGAGCTAACTGTCTTCTCTTTTTCGAAAATTCAGGACAGGGACCTATTAGCAGTCTGAAATCAAGACAGTTGGATTTATATGGTCCATGAGAAAACTCATGAAAGTTTGGGTTAGCACCCCAAATCTATTATCTTATTCCTGTAGATGCTGTTGTAGAAGTATGAATAAAATAATCAGATGGTTCTTTCATATGAAAAAAGAAAGATCTATTAACCAGACTCCATGCAGGACACACATAAAACAGTATAATGAGCTGTGTTAAAAGCAGTAAAGATTAATCTAGAAGCTCTTGGTATTCAAGAGCTTGGAATTTGGGAAGGGAAGGAAGAATATTTTTAAAGACTATGCTTTATTTTCCTATAGCTAGAATCTGGAGTTCCTCTTCCAAGCCCTATGGATTTAATGTACAAAATTTTGGTGAAAAATAAGAAGAAGTCGCACAAGTCGTCAGAAGGAAGTGGCAAAAAGAAGCTCTCAGAACAAGCCTCCAACACATACAGTGACTCCTCCAGTGTGTTTGAGCCGTCTTCACCAGGAGCTGGTGAGGGACTGGCAGACTTTCCTGTTATGTGTTAATTTAGAATTGCTGCTCGAAATTAGTTTAGAAGGTCTGCTAGCATCTCTGTTTGGGTGGAAATTTTTTTTTGAACTTTATTTTATTGTGTGTATTGAGGTAACACTGGTTTACAACACTGTATGTTTTTTCATGGTATACGTTCACAGCATTACAAATGTATGTTATCATACCATATCAACTACCAAAGCCCTTTAATCCTCCACAATTGTGTCCCCCTCCCCTTAGCTCCCAACCCCTTTCTTTCTGGTAGTCTTAGTTTGGCAGTCATATCTCAAGGACTTGTTTTCGTCTATTCCTTTGCTTTGTTTTTTATATTCCACATGAGTGAAATCATCCCATATTTGTCTTTCTTCTTCTGACTTATTTCACTTACCATAATCCCCTCCAGTTTCATTAATGTTGTTGCAAAAGGCAAATATCCACCATTTTTTATAGCTGAGTAGTATTCCATTGTGTGTATATAGCACATATACACTCATCTGATCCACTCATCTGTCCTTGGACATTTAGGTTGTTTCTATAGTTTGGCTGTTGTGAATAGTGCTGCAGTGAACATAGGAGTGCAATTTGTGTTTTTCTGTTCTTCAGAAAGATACCTGGATCATATGGTAAATACAGGAAACTTCTATACTGTTAATATAGACTAGTCCAGCTTCTATGGGAAAACCACTATGGTGATGTCTCAAGATATTCAAAATAGAGCTTGGACACAATTTTAAGCTGTAATCATTTTCTGTTGCTGCTATAAACTTGGTGACTTTAAACTACACACATGTATTGTCCTTCAGTTTTGCAGTTCAGAAAACCCCTAAGGGTCTTACTAAGCTAAGCTCCAGGTGGCTGCAGGGCTGTGTTCCCTTCTGGAGACTCTAGGGATAAATTTTTTCCCTTGTTTTTTCCAACTTGAGGCCACCCACATCTGTTAGCCTATGTCCCCCTTCCTCCAGCTTCAAAGCCAGCCATGTCACATTTCCGTTACACTTCTGTTGTCACATCTCCCCTTGACCACAACTGAGAAAAGTTCTGTGCTTTTAAGAACTCATGTCATTACACTAAACTAATTCAGATAACCCAGGATAATCTCCCTGTGCCACCCCTACCCCCACCCACCCCCCACCCTCCACCCCCCACCCTCCAAGGTTCTTAATCTCATCTGCAAAGTCCCTTCTGTCATGTAAGGTAGCATATTCACAGGACATGGACATTTTGAAGAGGCCATGATTCTGGCTACCACATAAACCAAAGATTATTTATGTGACGATTTTAAGTTCCTCAATATCTACAATCCCTTGACATTAACTATGGACTGCACAAAATGTTCAGTGAATGCATTCTCATTGATATGCTGAGGATGTCGGAGCAATTCAGCTCACCAGAGCTTTTTAACATGTGAAATGATAAAGTTACTTGAATTCTTCTTTCAAAACTGTTAGGTGATGCTTAATATCATTCATTTTCCTTTCGATTTAGATTGAAATAGATTTCTGTGGTTACTGAGAAAAGGATTCTCAGTAACCACAGCGTTCACCCATTTCCTTTTTGGCAAACTGAAAAGTGTGTTACAAAGATCTGATTGCAGGACGAACAAATGGAGCAAACTTTAAGCTTAAATCTCAGAAGTTCTTCAATGAAAAGTTTAACATTGGAACAACACTTTGGAAAACTGCATCTACAAAAATTAGAAATATGCACCCTCTGTGATCCAGGGATGCCATTCCTAGGCTATATCCAACAGAAATGTGGATAAATGTTCACTGAAAGACAGGTACAAAAATTGCAGAAAGCAGCACTATTCATAATAACCAAACTGTGCCCTTGAAAGTTAGACTATGGTAACCTTTGAGGAAGACGTTTGAGAAAAGACATTCAGAGCTTCTGAACTCTGGTATTTTGTTTGTTGTCTGAGCTGGTTACTAAGGTCTATTTAGCTGGTGATAATTTACTACACTGTACATTTATGACATGTATATTTCTCTCTGTAACTGTCACATGTCAAAAGATTTTTAAAAATAAAAGCACAAATTTTAGGGCAATCCTCTGATTTAGCTTCTATTTTTCCACTCAAGGGGAAAATCCTGAAAATCCTTATCCAACAGACATTATATAATTCTTTGAAAGGATTTTGTTGGTAGTTTTTAAATGTTCATTTCAAACATTATTATACATTTCTGATTCATTTTTCAAAAATAGCTTTTGTTTTCAGTAAGGACGTTCTTTTTAAAGTTTTGGAACCAATATCTTTTAGCGAGCTCCCCTATTTCCTAACACAATTCCACCTCTTGAATGCTAGCGAGTAAACCATGGCTTCCTTTGCATGTGGGAGCTGTTGTTTTTACCATCTGCCTTTCCTGCTACCAGTTCTCTCCTGTTAACTGGATACATAACACAAATAACGATCTTTACAGGCAGTGAACATTATTGCTTAATACAGAGAAAGAGCAGCAATCTGTTAGTAATTCGGTAGATTTCCTAAGTTGGTCTCAGTCTGTTGTGCAATCCTCATTTATTTCAATGGAAAATTTTGGACATTTTAATATGTAGGTAGGCCCCTGAATAAAGAAACTGCTAATTTACCATTTGGTTTGTAGATATCCTCAGGATTGGGAACTCAAAGTAACTTGAAAAATAGTACATGGTGGTTATTTCAAAACTTACTTAGCTAACATGGCCCCTCTTGGCTGGCAGCCTCTTCCAGAATTCGGACATTTGCCAGTGCACTTGTCTTAAAGAAATAGGGTAAAGCAAGAGGTTTTTTTAAATGGCTCAAAAAGATTCTGCAAAGGTCCTTCCTAGATGTCTAAGGGGAAAATCATATCTCTGCTCACAGGAATAAAAGACAAATTATTTCTTTCCCACATAAACCAAAGAATAACCTCATGGAGGAAATGAGTTGATTGGTATATTGCTGTGACCTATGAAGCATATGTAGAAGGTTCTGCCAAACAATTTTTTTTAATCAAATGTGATTTTATTTTTTAAGTCGTTTGCATTTTTTCTTTTTTTAATATTAACTTTTTTTTTACATCATTGCTCATTTTTAAACAATATTTGCTTCCCCCCACCCCTCAGGTGTAGTCCCCATAGAGTTTCCTTCACCAATGCACCTGTGCACCATCACCTCAGTCCCCTGTGCTCCTCCCTCCCTCCCTCTGATCCCTCTCCTGTCTCCTCCCCTGCAGGATGTCTCTGATTTATAATTGTCCATTTTTGCTTTGTTGTATTTGTACTGTTATTATTGTTTTTACACTGATGTCTTATTTGGTTCCCCTATATTCCTGCTATAAGTGAAACCATCCGATATTTTTCTTTTTCCTTCCAGCTTATTTCACTGAGCATAATTCCTTCTAGTTCCATCCACATTGCTGCGAATGGCATGAGTTTATCTTTTTTGATTGCTGAATAATATTCCATTGTGTATATATGCCACATCTTCTTGATACAGTCACCTATTTTGGGGCATTTGGGTTGCCAAACAATTTTTAAATTAGTTGATTAAAAGAATCTCTTCTCTAAAACCAATATTAACAACTTTGATTATGAAAAACATTTAAGTGCCATCCTCTTAAAAGAGGTGCTAATAGGGTGTTTTCTGTATTAAGTATAGTTGGTTAATCTTATTAACTAATGTCAGAATTACAAAGTGATTGCTGTGTGGCTATCTTTAATACATAATTCATAAATCTAAGCCTTGATGTTTCCAGAATCTTTTCCCTCTACAGCTATTTTATGAATACTTTGCTCACTGATTTCATTCAGTAGTTGATTAAACTTCGTCAGCCAAATGAAAACATTTATAAGCACCTTGGAAGACAATGCTGTGAGCGCTGTGTTATTTATATAGATTGAGCAGGACAGCTAACTTTCCAAAGGCAAAGAGGGAAGAGACTTGTCAAGCCAATTTACCTCATTCTTGTGCCAGTATTGCCATCTACTGGAATCTTAATGCTATTGTAGTGAATGAATCAAAAAATAGTCAAATCAAGCAATTTAGTTATGCCTTCTATACTTTTCACTTGATAATATTCGTTATACTAACTGATATTACTGGGTTTGACTAAATGCAGAACTATGGAATAATGTAATGTTGCATACTTGTGAAATATTTAACCTAGCAGAATCATCCACCAAATCTTCAAAGAGGATAACTGTCCATTGGAGCAGCTGTTGGCTAAATATGAAACAGAATTCTGTCTCACTGAGTTAGATTTGCAGCTCAGTGATTTTTAAGGGTTTGCCCTTTTTATCCTTCTCTTTTAAATATATTAAAATATATGCATGTTTAGACAATGACAAGACATTCATCAACTAAGCCTGCAGGCAAAGTATAGGATATTGTTGGCACATTACAGTTTTTGTGTAGTCAGGGGTGCTGCCATAGCCCCAAGCTTTCTCGATTCCTGTGGAGTCCTCTGTGACCTTGAGAGAATAGCCACAATGTCATTGAGTGCCTGCTAAGCATCAGATGAAAGGACAGGGGTCATTTATTTTAGGGTCATAAAGGTCCTGAAAGAGAACGTATACGTCAAGATAGGATGGATATCCCATACCAAGCTAACTGTATATGATTCCAAATAGATTTGAAAAGCATGTTTCAAGCGCAAATGTTTTAAAAAGAATATAGATAAAAATATTGGCAACCATTTTTTATGAATTTGGAAATTTCAAATGATATTCACAGATCAAATTTAGAAAAAAATCTATATGGAAAATAGTATAATTTAATAATTCTCTGAGTAAAATTTAAATATCCTGAAGCATTATTTTAAAACTGTGAAAGGCCCATTTCTAAGGAAATTTTTGGTAATGCACAGTACTTGCTTCAAAACAGTAAATGTCTGTTTACTTCATGACCTGTTATTAAAATTTGACAGGGGAAGCTGATACAGAGAGTGATGATGATGACGATGATGATGACTGTAAAAAATCTTCCATGGACGAGGTAGGTCTCCAGGGCTTAACTTGTAGTCACAGGGCTTCCCACTAACTTGCCAGCACAGGCTGTTCCCCCAGAATGTAGTCCATGGTCACCTTCTGCCATCTAGTGGCGAGAAGAGTCACAATTCACTTTGAAATTTGTTCCCTACTCCATTTGGAAATGAAGCTGAAACGGGGGTTACTAAAGGAAGGACAAGGTGATGAGCAGAGTTCTCAGTAATGGGCAGTGTTGCTGAGCCTCACTGCCATCAATGGGGTATCAAATGGGATATCAAAATTTGCCTTCCTCAGTGTTTGACAATTAAATGGATTGTCAAACAGTGCATAATTCAACGTAGAAATGAGATTTGGAGAAATGTTCAGAAATACGATGTTAATTCCATTGTTGTAACTTTGGAACCACTAGAGATATCTACTGATATAAGCTCACACATCAAAAAAACTTAATCTCAGAATATCAATTGTACATAATCTAGAAGCAAGTCACAAATTGGTCAATTTGAATTTTATTTATTTTTTTAAAGTTTTATTTATTTATTTTATACAAGAACTGGGGTACAGGCCAGAGGCACAGGAGGGTGAGAAGACTCACCAGAGACAGAGAGGGGAGCAGAACAGGCAGACAGACCAAAATACACTGCTGAGGGGAGCACTGGGCAAGAGAGGAGAAGTCTGCCGCGCCATGTGGGTATCGCCCTTGCTGGTGGGGAATCGATTCCGCAATGTAGAGGCTGTGGGCAGCTTCACAGCTCTGCGCTCAACTTGCTGCGCCACCAAGGAGGCCCTCAATTTGAATTTTAAAGCTTTGTTTTTGCAGGTGTCTTGGTTGAAATGTCTGTATTAAATCTGCTTTCTAATCTGTTGGAAAGTATCTGTCTCAGTACTTACATCTTTACAATGTATCTATAAAGATAAATAACAAATAAGAGGCTGTTCTCGTTTATGTTCTTCCTTTTAGAATTTCACTCTTTAATGTAATCTAATTTTTTTGTTTAATGATGTTCCCTTACTTAATTTTGACTTAATATCCAGGACAAAAATTGTTTAAATGGTAAGGTGTTCTGACTGAGAATTATTTCAATTGTGTATAATTTTTTTTCAGTGGTTCTTGTTAACTTAAAAACTGTATTACTAACCAAGTGGTCCAATTGCAAATGAATATTTCCAATGAACGGTTAGCTTAAATATTGCCGCATGAAATTCCAAAGAAATTTTGTCCCCATGTCGTCTCTTTCCTAAAACAGGAGAAAATATTAGCTCATTAGTCTGCAGAGTTCTGTCCATGCAATAATGTATTTTGAGGTTTTTTTTTTCTTTTAATGAAACTATCAAAGTGATGTGTAATAGTTATATAATAACTAAAGTAACATGAAATTTTACTGTGTGCCAGTTACTGTCCTGAGCTCTTTCCTATAGATTAACTCACTTAATAATCACAAAAACCCTGTATATTTAGGAACTAATTTTATCCTAGTCCTACAGATGAGATAGAGCTTTTAAGTAACTTGCCCAAGACTACACAGTTTCTAAGTGTGGATTTGGGATTTAAAATCAGGCAACCTAGAAATTGAGCTATTGACCCTTGTATTACACTACAAAGCTTGACTAATATCCACACAGCCACTAAGAAGGCAGGGAGAGAGGAATGTTTCTAAAGAAAAGTAACCATTGTTTGCCAATACAAGTTGACCCACCCATCCTACTTCCAAAGGAAAACTTTACTTTTATTTTTTTAGCAATTTTCAGTTCACTACAGAATAATTTGTCACTACAGAATAATTTTCTTATCTTAGAGTGACTTCTTGATTGATTAACCTCAGACATCATCTATGGACTCGCTGCTAGGCAGATGAGATGTAGCTCAGTGCTTCTCAAACTTGAATGTGCATTCGAGCACCATATGAAACCACAGGTTCTGATTCAGAAGACCTGTGGAGGGGCTGAAATGTTGCATGTCTAACCAGGGGGGTGTTGAAGCTGCTGGCCCCAGCACACTGGGAGCGACGCCCAAGCCAAGCTGGTGTAAGGAGGGGCACTGCTCCTACTTCCTGCTGTAATGACTTTTCTATTGACAATAAGCATTTTCAGAGGAGGAGGGGTGGTCTTCTACCCTCTTTGGGTCACATGATCATTGCCCTGGGAAAATAATCCTTGATAACACGATGCCGATTCTGGAAATGTTTTTCATTTCTGCTTCAAGGGCACTGCTGGGAGTGAGGCCATGGCCACAGAAGAGATGTCCAACCTGGTGAACTATATTCAGCCAGTCAAGTTTGAGTCATTTGAAATTTCAAAAAGTAAGTTTCTTTTCTGGGGGGAAAAAAAACCCTCTTGTATCATATAATGATTGCTGGTAAAGTCCTGAATATATGCATGAGTTGACTATCTGATTTATAATTTTATATGCATGTTTAATATATGCTATATATCATGTTTATATTTATATAAAATTACATATATTTCATATAAACTTGTATATCATATATATTAAAATATATGTTATAATTACCATATAAGAAAGTATTCCATGACCCTGTAAAGACAAAAAAACATAATAGGCTATGTACATGTTTATCTGAAAGACATTAAATCAGAGTACAGCTAATAGTTTTGTATTTCTTTCTTGCTTGCAACAATACAGTTGACTTCATCCATTGTATAAGTGACAGTATTGGTGTAAACTTTCTGCTCATCCTCTGAAAGGGAATCAACCAGAAATATGCTCAACCCTGATAGCTAGGAATAGAACCAAATCAACCAATTAACCCATATCTCATTTATCCATCCTCTGTTTTATATATTTAGGGGATCATATAATTAATTGCAAGTCACTTTCATGCTTTCCCTACATCCAACTACACATCCATTCTGGGTGTAAGAAAAATATATTTCCTCTACCTAGAGAAAAAAACCTTTTATAATTGCCCTTTAAACTTACATGAATATAAGAAGATGCTATCAGGCTAAGAGAATCCTTGGGACTTTTTTGCTGTGTTCTTAAAAGCTGAAGTTTTGCTTAAACATGGCAGCTTCTCATAAAAGGTAGCATTACAGATATGTCAAAACCTATGCCCTATGTAACATACTTTTGTATAATTTTGCCCAGAAAGCTTTGACTTAGCAGCATGTATCTAGATCTCTACGATAAAGAATTTAATTTCCATATATAGTTTATATGTAAAGATCTCAACATTTTGTCTATTTTAATTACTAACACTTCTTACAAGCTGCTCATTTGAAATATACTAAAGTAGTTATTTTTATATTACTGAAAATTTTATTATCTGTAATATGAATTTTCTTAATTCATGAATCAAAAAAAAAAAAGACTTAGATGTCTAACCTAGTTGAGAAGAAGCGGATGCATTTGCGTTCTATGGAAGCTGGTGACATCATCGGCAAAAGATTTACAACCAAATACTTTTCTTCCTATGTTTTGTATCATTTTATCACATTTTAAAATTGAATACTGCACATATTTTACTATTCTACCTACTTTTGACTTACTATTAATTAGCACTTACACTTAAAATAGTTATATCAAAATAGATTTTTGATGAACCAACAAAAGAGAAGAAAGGTTAACTTTAGAGTTGATTATAGGTGAGGGAATGCAGAAAGAAGGATTCTGGGGATGACTAGGAAGAAAAACGAGGCTTAATTAGGAAAAGTAGGCATCAGGGAGGGGAAATGCCTCCAAGGAAAACCGGTTTCAAAAAACTGAGCGCTATCTAACCACACTTTCCTTAATGTATATATTTAATAGTCTTTTCAGCTGGGAAGAAGATGGCTGACTCTAGGTCCCTCCAAAATGAGAGAACCATTTTATTTCTCTTTAGTTGGAAGCTTGGATTTCACTTTCAGAGTGTTGTTCTTGTGTTCAAGAATAGTGAGACCTTTAGCACCTTCTCATCTCTGGCTCTCATATCTAATCTGAAAAAGAGGTGATCGGATTGGAAAATTTCCAGAGAACGTTTTGCTTTGCAAAAGGTTTGAACCAAAAGGGTATATGTAAACTGAGACCATGATAATGTGGATAGAAGAGAGATAGTCATCATCTGGCACAAACACACCCAACAGCCCCATGAAATCAATCTGAATGGATTTAGAACAAAAGGTTCTAGAAAGTCACTGCTCTTTTCACAAAACAGCTTTCATTATTCTATTATCCACTACTAAAATTCATTTTTCCATACTAAATCTATCTCATCCCTAACTTGTTGCAACCATAAGCATCTCACCCAACTAGGAAATATTAGAAGAATATCTGAGTTGAGTCAATACACTCAACTTTTGTTGCAACTTCAGTTTATCCTGCCCATCCCCCCACACCCCACCAGACACACACACAAAATATATAAAAACTACATTGAGAATTAACTACACTCAGCTTTACTGAACACTTGCCTATTTGTTATCTGTTATAACATGGAATTTTAATTTTACTCCTTACTGTTTTTACTCAGAAAGAAATAGAAGTTTTGAAATGTCATCCTTTGTGGAAACTAAAGGACTTGAGCAACTAACGAAGACACCAGTGGAATTTGTAGAGTATCCTTGATTTGACGAGTGACTACTGAATTAACACAATAAAGTCCTGTGTTCTTTCCTTAACTTTTGTTCTTAATTGGGAGAAAGATGCATGAAATACCTTAAGTCTGTAAATCTGGACATGATAGTTAAGGGTTTCATAGGTGAAGCTGAGTTGGGTAACTTCGCATTTGCAAGAGAACAGGCCCTGGAGTAAAGGAAGCCCCAATTTCAAGGTTATTTTCACACCTTCAAGCAATTTATCATTTTGGCAATTAGCTCAATCCTTCTAAATGTTCTCTATAAAACAGAATTAATGATACCAGATTTTGGCTTGCTATTCGTGTTAGGGAACATGTAAAATGTGTATGTGCCTGTAAGATGTACCTAGTGTGTCTATATATACCTTCTTGAAAATAGATATCCAGTCAAAAAATAGTTGGGATGAAAATATGAATGTGTTAGTAATAATGATTATGTTGATACTGCTGACAATAGAAACTTTTTATTATGCAAGAATCAAAATAAAATGAAAACAGAAAATGTTTTCATAAAATTAATAGTAAATGTCCCAAAGCTTTTGATTTCACAAAGTAAATCTTAGAATAAAAAGGTCAGTTTTCAAACTCATCAAAAATAGGAGAATGAGAAAATATAAAGGTCATAAGCAATTATATTGTAAAAATCAAGACCATTAGTATTTATTAAGTATTCATTTGGGCTTATTATTTAATCCTCACAATAGCCCTTTAATATAAGAATTTTTTTGAAAGATTTATTTATTTATACAAGCACTGGGTACAATCAGAAGTGTGGGAGGGTGAGAGAATTCACCATAGCCACAGCAGGGAACAGAACAGACAGACTGACAAAATACACTGCCGAGGGGAGCAGTGGGCAAGACAGAAGAGGTCTGTCGTGCCATGTGGGACCCTTGCCGGACGGCCGGGATCGAGCCAGCACTGCAGAGGCTGTGGGCAGCTTTGCAGCCCAAAGCTCAACTGCTGCACCACCAGTGGAGGCCCTAATATAAGAATTGTTAAGTCTATTTTATGGATGAGGAAACTGAGGCTCGGAAAAGTGAAATAACTTGCCTTTGATTATACAGCTAATGAGTTCCAGAAAAAAGATTCACCTGCCCAACTCAAAACCACAGTTCACCCCCTGCCTAACTTGTTAATGGGAATGATCAGTTCTGTTTTAAAGATGTAATGTTGTTCAATCACTAAAAGATTCTCAGGATGGAAACTGATGACAGTAAGAGCCAAAATACAAAACAAGGTCAAAACCATCTGTGCTATATTTACCTTGTTATCAGTCATAAAGAATACCACTGTCTTGGCAAACAGCATTCTCAGAGAAGGTTAAGAAAATGAGCAGAGAACATTTCAAAAATAGCCATATAGTTCATATTATCTGCTTCTGCCAAAAACAATATCATCCTCTCAAATGATTTGACATGCTTGAGCTTCTTCGTGTGTCCTTTGTCATTAAGCCTGTCCTTAATAATCTCCACGAAATCACACTGACTTTGACTCACTCATTTTTGCTAACTCATTAAGTTTTTACCCACAAGGCTCTGCCAAGGTGATGCTACATTTATATTATAAAAGCACATTTATTTTGTTTGTTCAGAATTTTTTTTAATCTATTTCACCCACTAACTCAATGAGTTCTTAAATATTTATTTCATTTCCCCAAAACAGAAAGATTAAAGGTGGCCTCTCAGTTAATATTATCAATTAATTATTTTGATAATTGTATTCACTACTTAACATGATGGTCCAGATATAACAAAATGCAGCTTAGTAGGATATATCCAAAAGGAACACGAGTGGATTCATCCAACTACATGCCTCAGCTCTTCTGGAATGCAGGTTGCCAAATGGTTGCACTTAATTTCCAAACAGTAGGTAAGTAACATAGGGTAATACATTTCCATTCTTTTTTTTTTTTTTTTTAAAGATTTATTTATTTATTTATACAAGCACTGGGTACAGTCAGAAGCACGGGAGGGTGAGAGAATTCACCAGAGCCAGAGCGGGGAGCAGAGCAGGCAGACTGACGAAGAAATACACTGCTGAAGGGAGCAGCGGGCGAGGCAGGAGAGGTCTGTGCACCATGTGGGACCCTCGTGGTGGCCAGGGAACGAACCAGCGCTGCAGAGGCTGCAGGCAGCTTCGCAACCCAGCACTCAACCGCTGCGCCACCAGGGGAGGCCCTACATTTCCATTCTATATAAAGTCACATTTCTGAGGATCATGAAAACCATCCCCAAGAGATTGGGGTCGAAAAAAAAATCCAGACTTGTTTGAAAAAACAAATAAAAGCAAATATCAGTGAAGGAAGTATCAAAGCAAAAAAAGGTGAATTTTGAAAACTGAGAAATTGTTATCAATAATTTATCAACAAGGCTTTTTTTCTACTTTGTACTAAAAGATCTATTTTCAAACAAAATTTTTGCAATCTTTAAAATAATAGGTACTTATTTATAGAAAATTTGGAAAATTTAAAAAAGTATATAAAAAAATCAAAGCACCAAGAATGCTACCAATTAAAGATTCAACTCTGTTAACTTTTAGATTTGTACTTACATTTGACTATGTATTTGCATGCCTTTTCATTTCGTTGTTTTATATATATGGACATATACATATATGTGTATACATATATAATCTGAGTGCTATTCAGAAACATGTAATGTAATATCTACATATTAAGCATATTGAAAACCTCAGTAAAGTCCATTTTCTATCACTAGATGTTAGGAATTTTTTTCTAGTATAAATAATGCTCTGAGGATTGTCTAGAATATCAATTATCAAGTCTATCTCCTAATGTTCTTTTGGAAAAGCTCCTAAAACAGAATTGCTCTTTAAAAGAAGTGAACATTTTAAGAACCTCTGAGCATCATGCCAAATTGTCCATCAAGTGTTGCACTAGGTTTCTCCTTCATCAGGAATATATATGAGGTGAACCCTCTCATTTGAGGTCTCAGTTAAGTACTAAATAATAATGATAATAAAAATATGCTATCTCACTGTCATTTTAATTTCATTTTGTTGACTAATGCTGAGGGTGAACACTTTAAGCATGTATTTTAGTTTGTATGTTTCTGCTTTTATGAATTCCCTGATGAAGGCTCTTATCAATTTTCCTATTCATTTTTGGTGTCGGTAAATCCTTTTAGATTTTGCTTTTCATTGAAGCTCATTACCCTTTCTTCTGTCTTGAATGTAATCATTCAGGATAAAGGACTCTAAACTGGAAATAGTTTTCTTTGAATACTTTCAATATCCACTTGCCTTTCCCTTCTTGCTTATGAGGTTCTACTGAAAAATCTGCGATTTTATTAGTATTCCCTTATTGTTTGCCCTTTTTTCTCTGTGTTTTTTGTAGCCTATCCTTGTCATCGTTTCAATAGGTTTCAATAGTTTTACTATAGCTTGTCTTGGAGTCTGTCTGATATTATTTTGTTTGAAACTCTTGGATCAGAATGTCAGGATGTTGGTTCATTTCCCAGGTTGAGATGGTTCTCAGCAGTTATCTATTGAAGTAGGTTTTCCATGCCTTTGTCTTTCTCTTCTCCTTCTGGGACCCCCATGATATGGTTGTTATTTCTCTTTAGCTCTTCCCAGAAACTAATGCTATTTCTAACACTATTTTCATTTTTTAACGCTTTTGTCTCTGTTGTTCTATTTGTGTGTTCTCTAACAATGGGCTTTGCAGATCACTAATTCTCCCCATTACTTTTGTTTGTCTACTTTTCAGACCCTCTATTATAATTTTATTTCACACTCTATTATAATTTATAATTATAATTTAATTTAGTTATAGTAAGTTTTAGATCCATTATCCTAATTGTAACAGTCTCATATTTTCACACTCCTTATCCTGGTCCTAATTTACATCATCCATTGTGGATTCTGTTTTGTTTTCTTTTAAATTCTACAAGCATCAGTTATAACTCTGACCTTCAGTTCCTCTTCAGGCATATTCTCTGGTTCTGCTGCTTTGAGGACTTGTTCTTTGTTTTGCTTCAGCCTTTGTGATACTCTTCTCTCTTCATTTTAGTTTTTATAGGTTGTAACAGGGACAAACTTTCAGACTGCTGCTTTTGCTCCTGTTCTAGAGACCAACAACCTGGTACCAGCAGGGGGTAAGGGGAACCAGAGTGCTGGACTCAACTCCAGTGAGCATCAGAGACTTAAGCTTCCCACCCTGCCAGGACCCCCTCTTATAAGCCAATTCCCTGGTTCAAATGTCTCTTACAGTCCCTGCCATCTCATCATTCTCTAGGATCTTTGAACATTAGATGCATTACTTGCATGGATTTTGATTATAACAGGACCACACACAGGAATTTGTTATCTTTGCTTACCCTGGGTTACTAGCTCCTGGAAAACTCTGGTTGGTGAAAGCATTCACTTGTCTCAATGCTGGCCTTGGGGAGTGGGAGTGGCAGGTATTTCAAATATCACACCTTCAGGATGCATATAACCACTTCTTCAATTAAGGAGACTGCAGGTGATCACACCTGGCTATCCCCTCCAGCTGTTCTATACTGGAAGCTTCAGGCTCAAGCCATAACCATTACTCTGCACCCTTCATCCTATAGTTCGTCAACAGTGCACCCTTTGTCCTGTACTCCAACTCTGTGTACCCCCTTATCTCCAAAGTCCCTGAGTCGAAGCTCTAGGAGGACTCTGTACTGCAGACACCCTTCCCTCCCATGTACGCTCAGGTATCATCACTACAAACATGGTTCAGTTAAATTTTTCCTTCTCCTTTCTACCAGACCATTGTTCCTATTGTATCCATTATTTGTCTGTTTTTCTTTCAAGATTTAACTTTATTCTGCTATAATTTAGTTATGGGTCTATGAAGAAGGTGAATCTACTGTCTTCACTCTGCTGCCATCTTTCTGGATTTCTCCCTTCATTTATAATGGTGCTTTTTATATAAAGAGCATGTTGTCTTATATTGTGAAATAGAGAAAAAATTGTTTTATGGGCAATTTGCTTAACATTTTATAAACTTTTGGTTTACTTTCGTGACTTCAATTTCTCTACCGTACAGTCAGATCCATACTGCCATTTCTGTCATGGTTTCTTTTTTTTTAATAATTTAATCTTTTCATACATCCAAATTTAAATTTGATATATAATCCCAGTAAGAGATCAATCCTTTTTTTACATAGCACTGGAATTATAACTTAATTGGTGAAACTTTTTTTTTAGTTAATTTAGGTCTATATTTTCAATTTATATACTTTTCCATTTTTAAATTTGTCTGCCTTCCTAGAACTAATAACTTACTCTTTTTATCATAATGTTTAATAATATTGTCTAATACCTAGAAATGTAAATTCTCCTTTATTGCTATTTTCACTTCTTTTCTTGCCATTGCAATGAGAAACATGTCTCAAAAATTTGGTTTGTTACTATGTTTTTTTTTCCCCCCCTCTCTGGGGGAAAAAATGAGATTTTGATTAATCATGTTAAATTTATAAATCATGTTAAATAAATTTATAAATCATTATTAAATCATGTTAAATTTATAAATTCATCTAGGTAAAGCTAACACCTTTCAGTTTTTACTTTTATCACAAAAATAATGTCATTCCTTTTTTACTTTAATAGTTTTTATGTTGTCCCTCAACAAAATGATTCATCATTGTTAGAGACTCTTTAGATGAAATCCTTTTTTAAAATTATGTTTTAACAGACTATATCTGGATATTTATATTTATATATTTATTTTGTAAGTAAGTGTATTTTATAAATGATCATCTTCCTAAGTTCTTATAATAACTTATTTTGCCAGTAGATTCTATTGAGTTTTCAGCTGTACAACCACAGTAATTTATTTGTATTCCATTTCCCCCATGTCTTAGTGCTTTAAAGTGATAGTTCTAGAATAATATCAGATAAATATCATTAGAGTTCACATCTTTCTCTTCATCCTGACACAATGGGACACAAGTATTTTAAACTTATTGCTTGCTTTTGTTGGCATTTTGTCCAATTTTGGCATCATAGTCATATCAGCTTAATAAAACGAGAGATATATTTTCACTTATTTCTCCTGGCCTAAAAAGATTAGTTACATGAAAATTTGAAATACTTTTAATCATCACCTCTTTATTATCCACATGAATGAATGAAAGATGATCATCTGGAACATGTGACAACAGCCCAGATTCCTTATTACTTTAAATAAATGTTTTAACCCTGCCAGTTACAGTGAGTATGGACATTCATTTCCTATAAACTAAGTCTTAGGAAAACCTTGACCAGTAACATTTGTCCATTAGATAAAAATCAGTGTATTATTAAATGTGGTGTTAAGTAAGCAAAGAAGTAGACACTGTAAAAAGTATATAATTGCTCCTATAAACTAAAAAAGAAAAGTTATAGTATCCACAACAGAGATTTGGTGAAGTCCATCCTCAAAAATATGGATTAGGGGAGTATAATTTAATATTTCTGAAGGGCATTTTAGCAAGATGTAAAAAAAACTTTTCCAATGTATGTATCTTTTGACCCGGAAATTTTATTTCTAAGATTGTTAATGATAGCTTCAAGGATTGCATCACGACAATGTGATGCAATATCACAATCAAAATGTGATATGTAATAATGAAAATTAGAAGACTTTTAAATATGCCAAAGGAACTGGCATAATATATTTATTCAGACATATCTATTCAAAGGAATCATATACAGCTGTTAAAATTAAAGCAGACAAATATTTAATGGAATGGATAGGCTAAATATTCAATATATATTTGAAATAGAAAACAGAGTACATACAACCTGCTTGTAGCAGTTTATCTCTGGATTTAGGTTATCACAGTTCAATTTTTTTTTATCTTATTTGTGTTTTGTAATTTTTTATGTGAATAAGTATTTCTTTTTAAAAGGGGAATAGTCATAAAAATGGACTGTGATGCAGTTTACTTTCTTGCTCCAAATATAAAAAGTCACAATTAGGCTTGTGTTTTTTATATTCAGACCTGGCTATGCAAATAAATATGGGAATGTATGAATACAATGGGAAGAGTGGCTACAGATTAAAGCCAGAGTTCATGAGGAGACCTGACAAGCATTTTGATCCATTTACCGAAGGCATCGTAGATGGGATTGTAGCCAACACTTTATCTGTTAAGGTATGTATATCTCCTATTGCAAAATTATTCCCCAAATAATCCTTAAGCATCAATTTTGTCTAAAGAAGTAATTTCTTTGTTTAAAATGTACTTATTCCAAAGTCTCTAGTTTCTTCATGTACCTTTTTCCTTAAGAACAGAATTCACATTAAAAGTTTTCAGAAGCTACATGGATGATAATCAGAGAACTAAGCTTTACTTTTAAAAGGAGAATAATGACATCCTAAGTCAATACAAGTTGGTGAGATTCTCCATGGCCAATCCTTTCTATTGGTGTAAATATCCCACTGCTGAGGGAACAGCAGGTGAGACAGGAGAGGTCTGCTGTGCCATGTGGGTAACTCCCTGGCTGAGGATCGAACTCGTGCTGCAGTGGCTTTGTATTGCTTCATAGGTTGCATTGCATCTTAACCACCTGCACCACCAGGGAGGCTCCATCAAAATATCTTAAACACACAAAATCTTTGGTGGGTCTGAATTACCAGTGTGACTTGGGTAACTTGGAAGTTTCAAATAAAATGTCTGTTTCATATAAAGAGTTTCATATAAAATGTCTGTAGAATCTCAAATTAAATAGATTGTTGCTTACAGGTCTTAAGCACTCAGGCTAAAGAGAATATTCACAAGAAAAGAGTGGTGTCTCATCCTCACAGCTTTTACGCTAACTTGTTCAGAATCTCTGGCCATGTCAGCAGGTAGCTAGCTGGTTTTGGCTTCTGATGACCATTCCCATGCTGTCCTTATGTCCAATTTCTGAGCCAGCCATAATCTTGGTGTTTCTGTCCCCTTTCATGGACTTGAGCTGAGAAAACTGTTGGCCAAAAGGCAGCTTTGTCAACTAGACAACCCAAATTCACCAGATTAGCTTTTTCAACCTTTCTTTCTACTGCTTTTCTTGCTGGTCATCTTGTTTGCCTCTGTTAACTTTTATGACACCCAAGGATCTCTTAGATTTTAAAAATTGCATTAGAAAAAGAGGTATACATTGGAAACATTTTATCAATATGTCATTTTAAAATCTCTCTACAAAGCTATTAGTTTTATAGCTAGACAAGGGACATAGACAACTGAGTAGACAATTAACCAGATGAAGTTATGGGTAATGATAACCTGGGCTTGATGGTTTGGTATTTGTTTTTTTGTTTGTTTATATCATCATTGTGCCTTTTTATTTAAACTCTACCAACTCTGAGAACTGGAATAGCATAGTGTTTCAGCCTACTTGAATCTTCTGAACACGAAGAAATTTTTAAATGCTAGTGTTTCTACCATATTGTTTTCAATTTGTTCTCTTTAATGACCTTTTTGTTTCGTCTTTAATAATGCTAAAATGAGACTTTTTCTCGTTAACATTTTAACTACTAGAAAAACCTTTATACTCAATGGGTTCAAAAGATCAGTCTTTAACATTTAATAGATGTATCATAAGTTAAAAGGGCATGATCTCATCAAACTCTTGGTATTTGTTCATTTATTTTCCCCTGAAGACTTTGTCTTGTTAATTAGCTCCCTTTAACCTCAGCATTTTCAATTTTCCTTTACCAATTCTTTGGCCAAAAGAGAAATCACATTTGTATTCTTATATTTCATGTTGATTGTAATTCAATGTTTACTATAACTGTACTTCAAAGAATTCTCATATATCATTATTACTTACTTATCAAGTTCCCTTTTTGATTATTTTCTAGATTATTTCAGGTCAGTTTCTTTCTGATAAGAAAGTTGGGACTTACGTGGAAGTGGATATGTTTGGTTTGCCAGTGGACACAAGGAGAAAGGCATTTAAGACCAAGACATCACAGGGAAATGCTGTAAATCCTGTCTGGGAAGAAGAACCCATTGTATTCAAAAAGGTTGGTCTCCTGCCCTGGACATAAGATATAACTGCATGTTTCAGATGTTTTACACTGTGGATAAAAAAATAAAACAAAGAATTGTTTGTTGCTTAACTTGGGAATATACACATTCGTGAAGCAATAAATGGTATTTTCAAAGCTATCTTGAAAACTATTCCAGATCTCTCTAGATCACTTATTTGGATTTTCAGAGCTGTATTGTAAATCAATTGATTTTGGTTATCTCATTTGGAAAACCAGAATAACATATATTTAAATCATCTCCTTTAATAATATGCATGATAAATTACACCTTTTCATTGTAACTCAAATGAAGTGGAGTAGAAAGTAGGGAATAATCTAGTCGTTGAAAGAAGTCCACACATCATTTTAAGAATATAAGAATAGCTAAAGGCAACTGGTCATTCTCTGTTGTCTGGATTCTGTCTAGTATAATTAAAGACTTTTACATTCCACTGGGATGTAAATCTACCTTCTCTCTACCTTCACAGTGAAACAAAACTTTCTGGTACTTACAACACAAAGAAAGAAACTAAGACCCTTAGAATGCAAAGTAGAGTTTCTTACCACACCCTTTCCTTTATCTGGCCAAAATTTATTCAGGACCAGGTTTCTGCAAATAGAATGTCCATATTAGCTGCATCCCTGCTCCAGCCTTTTCATACTTTAATTGGATTTAATAATAGTGTCAATTTCATAGACCTATTATAAGTATTCCCTAACACATTGAAAGCATCTAGAAAATGCCTGACACATTGAAAATAGTAAATAAATGCTAATTTGCTATTGTTAGTTTTTAAGGGTACAGTTTGTCTCATGTTCTTGACTTAACTCTGTGCTCTGCATGTTTTATTTATGAGAGAGAAAAATTACTTGTTACTCATTTAGGAATTTACAAATTCCTAAATTTCAAAAAAAAAATAAAAAATCCTAAATTTACAAAAAAAAATCATATTAGCAAGCAATCCTAAAATCTATTTTTGCACATATGTGTATAAATGCTCAGGTTGTGATAAAAAGTAGCATATTCAAACACAAACTTTTGTCATTTCTACATTGAAAATGTTCATGACAATAATAAATGGTCTGTGTGTTGAACAATTTCCCCATTAGAACAAGGTGACAAACCATAAAGGTAGATCTCTGGTAATTCCTGTCCTTTTGAATGTCTAAATTATAGATATAGATAGAGCAACAACTTACCATTTTATCAATTAACTAAATAGAAACTTCTTCTAGGATTTGGAAGAGTAGAGTCTATTTAAGCATACCTTTCCAGTTTTTTCTTGGAGTTACTCATCTTCATGACCATCCTTATATCCTTAATGTTCCCATAGGTGGTTCTTCCTTCTCTGGCTTGTTTGAGGATAGCAGTTTATGAAGAAGGAGGGAAATTTATTGGTCATCGGATCCTGCCAGTACAAGCAATTCGGCCAGGTATGGATAGTGTTTGAGAAATGTTTTTATCAGAGTTGTAAAGAAAGCTGTCACTGCCCTATGTGATTATTAATGAATTATTTAGCAAACTATATACTGCTTTGAAATGTGTTATGTAACAATGGTTATACTTCTATCCGAATCTGGCAGTTTCATGCTTTTTGTGGCATTACTCAACTCTTGCCAAGGTAACTGTGTATAGCAAACTATCTGAAAACTCAGTGGCTCACTTACAATGTTACAGGGCAACCCCAATGTGAAATGGGTGGGCCTGAGTATGGGTCCTCACTTGCATGCATAAAAGAGACTTATAATGAGAGCCAACTGCAGGCACACACAAAAAGGTTAATAAAGGATTTATTTACAAAAAGGGGGAAATGAAGAAAGGATAGACAGAGAGAAGGAGAAAGATAAATTGGAAAATGCATCCTACCAGTTCTGCTGAGCTGGGACCCCAATAGCATGCTGAAAAGGAGGCGAAAAAACAAAGACCCCCAAGGCCACATGTCTGGTTATATACCATATCTGGCTGCTTAACTTCACCCTCAGTTCCCAGCAATCCTCCCTTCAATGGTGAGGACATTATGGGATTTGTAGTCCTTGGTGTCTTGGATCTCTCTGGTCTTGGGGGGGGAGTGGGGTCCATAAAGCCTATTTGTAGAGTTTGTTCAGGACATCCTATCCCTCCAAAAACAAGTGTTATTCTGCATGCTCACAGGGCTGTGCGTTGGTTGGGTTTTGCTGGGCTCAGCCATGTAGCCTGGCCTCAGGCTGTGTGTGTATTCACCGGCTCAGGATGAAGGGGCTGTGGGGCCCACACTTTGGACTTCTCGCCTTCGCCCTCTGTAACGGATAAGGGGAAGCTGAACTCTGCAAGTGCATTTTAAGCTTGTTTGCACTACATCACGAACATCCCATTGTCCAAAGCAGAGCATTTAGCTAAGCTCCAAGTCTAGAAATCATATACAGGAGGAATAAACTTGGATCAATAGTTCCATCTATGACAAGCAGTTTGAATTCACTTTTTGTGGAAAACCTTGGTTGGAAAGGAAGAAAATCAGAATCAACTGCTATTTTCCTATTTGGTGAGAAAAATAACTTATCGTGCAAAACCATGTGATTAAAATGAGAAAGAAGTGACTTGTTTGTGACCCAAAGTCACACAATACAAACACTTCCATCACATAGATGTTCCTGTGTTTTGAACAAATAAGTGATACAGTATTATTGTCACCCTCCAGGCTATCACTACGTCTCTCTGAGGAATGAAAGGAACCAGCCGCTCATGCTACCAGCTGTCTTTGTCTACATAGAGGTGAAAGACTATGTTCCAGACACCTATGCAGGTAAACAATCTAACTCAAAAGGCTATTTCCATCCAGGGTTACCCATGTTTTTGTGGCTTCATGGAAGGAAAACTGAGCCAAATGAAGGAAGACAATTTTGACCTCAGAATCACTATCTTTTTTCTATGTATTTTTAGAGATAAATTGTTCAAGCCTTTGTGAATATATTTTAAGGCCCAATAAAGTTTTTTTTTTTAAAGATTTATTTATTTATTTATACGAGCACTGGGTATAGTCAGAAGCGCAGGAGGGTGAGAGAATTCACCAGAACCAGAGCGGGGAGCAAAGCAAGCAGAAGGACCGAAGTACACTGCTGAGGGGAGCAGTGGGCAGCAGGAGAGGTCTGCGTGCCATGCGGGACCCTCCTCCAGTGGCTGGGGAGCAGCCAGGGATGGAACTGGCGCCGCAGAGGCTGCGGGCAGCTTCACAACCCAGTGCTAAACTGCTGCGCCACCAGGGAGGCCCTAGGCCCAATAAAGTTTTGAGCATGCTTATTTACTGATAATAATTTTATGGACACACTAGCTAATCCATGCAACCTGGTACTTCAGCTGGCTGGCTGTACAATGAACTTGTTTTCAGTCAATATTGAAACCTGATCCTTTTATGGGTGGAATCCTAAGTTTAGAGGAATTAACTTATGACAGTGTCACTCAGGAATCAAATTTAAATGCTTATGATACTAAGTGGTCTGCTGTAAGATATTAGGGATACTGGGGAATAATGGAATCTATGGCAAACTTGGAACACATACCCCATCCAAAGATAGCAACCATAACCCACTCCAGCAAATGATGTCATGTGCCAATGTGATCCATATTGCCAAATCTTTGGATTGTTCCAAAACTGTTTTTATGTGAAATATCCATTTGGGTCAGATAGGACAAGGGCATGGGCCAATGCTGGAATGAATGGAACTCCCAAAAAGAAACTAACAAATGTGGAGTATGTGGCATTCTGAGTTAGAACCTGTCCAGTTTGGCTCTGAGAGAAAACCTACTTTGAGTTCTTTCTTTCTGAGATTTCAGCAGAGTCCTGACTCTTGTCCATTTCCAAATTTTGGATTGATGAGTGGATAGTTATATAGCAGATGGAAAATTGAAAAATGAATGATGAATTGGCTATGATGGATGAGTAGATAGGTAATGAATAAATACATAGATAGATGGGTAGATGAATGATTGGTTGGTTGGATGAATGAAAGGATGAATGGATGATAATCAGTTTCTCCAGATCCTTTCATCTAAAATGTCTCTTCTTTGTTTAGATGTGATTGAAGCTTTGTCAAATCCAATCCGATATGTCAATCTGATGGAGCAAAGAGCTAAGCAACTGGCTGCTTTGACACTGGAAGATGAAGAAGAAGTAAAGAAAGAGGTAAGAGACTGTTCTAATCCTAAATATGACATTAAGAATAATTTCTATACCCCGTAAGTATAATTTCTGGGTTTGCCTATGTAACATCACACCTCAGGGGAAGAAAATAACACATAGGTATAGCAGTTTCATAGGATTTAGCATCTAGTCACAAAACACCTAAATGATAAATTGGATTCTTGTAATACATAAATTCTGGTGTGTAGTATGGGCCATAAGGTGTTTGCTATTCTTATTACATTTTATATTTATATAACTACTATATATTACAAAAGATAATTGATCTATTATTCTAAATTAGATGTCGTAATACAAAGAATATTTATAAAAGGGTTGAGGATTACTAGAAATGATTTTTTTAAAATATGAAGCCTATCTGTAAACCATCAGTCATTTGGTTTTTTGAAAAAGTAAAGTATAAACAATGGTTATTGGATATGACATAAAAATTTTAAATAGTGATTTTATAAAGTAGTCATTTTCACATTTTATATGGTTATTCAGAAGAAAAATTCAGGGAAGAGATTAAGAAAAATGGAGGGCTATCAGTACAGGAAAAAAAATTGAAAATTGTTAGGATAACTATAATTAATAACAAGTCTGTTAAAGTTGACATTGTTGTTAAATGAACTTTTCCTTCCCAAAAGAAATCTAGGTTTATTACAGGAAATTTAAAGACTAAAAATGAGAAAAGAAAAGAAAACCCCAAAGATATCACTGTAATTCAAACACCTAAGCCACTCATAGCTAGCACTGTTAAAATGGTATGTCTGAGTTTCTATATTAGCATAATTATTGTTTTGCATAAAAAGGGTAATAGTCACAATCCTTATTCTCAACTATATTTTACTTAATGCAAATATTTCCCATACCCTTAGATATTCTTCTACAGCATAACTTTTAATGACTTCATTTTCTTCTGTCATAGAGTTCAACCATAATTTCATTTTTCCACTCCCCCATGTTGGATATTAAGGTGCTTTACTATTTTAAAAAGATCTTCAGCAAATAACATGGAAACACTTTATGAGTATATCTACGGATTATTTCTTTGTTTATACAGAATTTTAGAAATTTTTAAAATGTTCTGTTAATTAAATGTTGAGATAATGACCACTGTATGTTAATGAGAAAAAATGAAAGGAAAGAGAAGGAAAATATAAAAGTAACATTTCCCAGGCTCCTGTTTCTACTGCAGGCATTATATCCCATAAGGACCAATAGATAAACAATCCTCCTTGATGAAATTTAAAGTTAGACTGGAAAGTTTCATAAATAATGCCGTTAGTAAAAGGGGTGATAGAGGAAATTTTACTGCCAAAAATTTATGCCTAATAGAGATATGAATATACTTCAAAAGTTGTTTCTGCCTCTAACCTCTATGCTTAGAGAAGGAAACAGAAACAATAGGCCCCTTGCTTGAATTTAATGAGGATTAGTCTAGCAGTCACTGCTTATACAGGGTCCACAGAAGGTGTCTATCATGCTCCAGGCAGTTGCTGCTGGTGCCCTTCCCAGATCACCTTTTCAGGGATTTGTGGGGATGGACAATGAGGGGCTCATAGCCTCAGTCTTCACCAGATGAGTGGATGGGGCTAATAGGAGACACCTTCCCTGGAGATGCCAGCAGGTTATTCCAGGAAGGGGGTGTCCCACGCCCATGAGTGGAAGTTCCAGAAAGATTAACAACAGCCCAGTGCCCTTGCTTCTGGGCAGGCAACTGCTGTATTACAATTCCTGCTCCTGGGTTCCCCAAGGAATCAGACCGAGGCTAGATTCCTGCTGAGACCACATTTCCACTGCCCTCCTTTCCTGTTCTTACCCTCTGCTCACCTCACTTCTTTATAGCTTTCTCCTGAGAACAAGCTCTCTACAATTTACAAACTCAACAATCCTCAAATCCAGTTCTTCTTGTAGAAACCCAGCAGCACTGAATAACTGCTATTTATAATTGAATTTAAGAGTGCTTCTGCTGAATTTTGTTTGGGAGTTACAATTTAAAATATTTGACAACAGTGATGTCTTTAATTCTAATGTTTCTTCAGCAATAATAATGCTTTTCTACTTTCCTGTGGCCTTTGAAAGATTACATAAGACTAGAAAATTCAGTGAATTTCTCATTTGCTCATGTAGACACTAGTATGAAATTAAAAGTTTTTCCTTGGAATTCGTCAGAAACTGAAATTCTTTTCCTCCCAGTTTAGCTTACTAACATTTTTCAAACTACAATTCTAGGTGAATTATAATTTACAGAGATATAAACTATTCACAGCTTGTTTCACTAGTTAGAAAAAATGAATCTGTAATCAACTGGATATATTTTGTTTTCTAAGAAACAGAAGTTCATGGGAAGTATTTTCAAGTAAAATTACATGTAGCATTACTATCTACAAACAATACTTTTATATCATCAACTTCTACCTGTTTGCTAGTCAGTTCTTCAAGGAGTAAGCATTCACTTGAAGAGAACATTTTAAGACACCACCAGTTTAGCTTATGTAGTTCAGCAGTTGAGGTAAAAAGTTTCCTAATCGACCATTGTGCTGAGAGTGCCTGAGAGAGCTCATTTCTCTAATGATTACAAAAACTGTCCCTCTGTGGGAGACACAGAGTCTTTGAGATTGCAGGATCCTTTTGCACACTGGTATTTTTTCAAAGCCTTCTCTTTGCACATCAGTATCAAAAAGTTATTTAGGAAGAATGTAACACTAATGGTATAGAAATATAGAAGTTCTAGTCAACTTTATTTCTGCTTCTTTCCTAAAAATGATGATCAGAAAGGATTTTCATTAAATCCTATAATGTTGCTAAAATTTAGAGAATATTTGGACATTGTCAGCTTTAGAAATAATTTTAGAGGCATTGAATCACGTAGATTATATATGGTGTAACAGAGGAATCGCTAAACCTTTAACTGACCTCATTTTTGAAACTCAAGAAATAGATCATTTGCCCTTACTATGTAAAACTGTGAAAAGTCATCTCACACTCTGAACACCATGGTGCCCTTTATCTTGTCTTGTAATAATGTAAGTTTGTTTGAACGAGGCCACTGAAAATAAGCAGCTGTGGTTTTCTCAGAAGAAAATTCTATCTAGGACATGGTAGGCACTGGAGACACTATTTTAGCAGCAAAGACTTTTTTAGTATAATCCTTTTAACTTGGTAGTTTTAAAGGTCATTTATATTTGAAAAGTAAAGACTTTGTTATAAAATATCCCCAAATTTGTAATACTTTAATAAGTTATCTTCATAGAATTATTTGCAAACCAAATAAGTAGGAAGTTGAAAATTCCTGGATACTTTGAACAATAGACATTTATTTCAGATCTTGTGAAAAGATATATTTCCTTAACTTCCAACACAAATACAGTTAAGGGATAATAGAGGTTCAAGTTATTTTTTCTCTTTTAAAGCTATGACTCAGAAGGGTGAGTTAATAAGGTTGTAGAGGGGCCTTCCCAGTGGCACAGCGGGTTGAGTGCAGCACTGTGAAGCTGTCCGCAGCCTCCGGGACACCAGTTCGATTACTACCCAGCCTGGGGAGATTCCTACATGGCACAGCAGACAGACCTCTCCTGTCTCACCCACTGCTCCCCATAGCTCTCCTGTCTTGCCTGCTGCTCCCCTCAGCAGTGCATTTCGGTCTTCTGCCTGTTCTGCTCCTTGCTCTGTCTCTGGTGGATTCTCTCACCCTCCCGCGCCTCTGGCCTGTACCCCAGTTCTTGTATAAATAAATAAATCTTTAAAAAAAAAAAGGTTGTAGAAAGTTGCCTAACTGGAATTATATCAAAGGATTTATAATACTCATTGCTATTTCTCCAAATAAAATGTCATACAGAAAAATGTTAAGAGCAAACAAAAGAAACAGAAAATACCTCAGTAATCTTGCAAATCCCATTAACATTTTTAGCACAGGCGCTTTTAGCATGTTTTTGATGTATGTTTCTTTCCTTACAAAATTCTCAATATTAAAAAAATTTTCAGAACCTTCATCCTGTAATGTGGTTGTAGGATGCCTAATGAGATATCAGTCACACTTTCTATTTTCTAGCTTTAAAATACACATTTAAAAAGAAAAAAAGTATATTTCTAGTAAACTGATTATAAACTATTATGTGATAACATTAATGTTCAAATGTAGTATTTGAACATGATTTTTTGTAGCCCTGTAAGGAGTAGAGGAAAAAGTGAATGCAATGTTGTTTATTTACATTATTTTGCTAGGCCTTTTGGTAACTTTGAAAGTAAAATTAACATATATTAATATTTCTCTTAAATAGATTTCACTGATTTTTTTCCAATAAAAAAGAGTTTTAATAGAATTAGTATGCAATAGAAAGAAGAGAAGAAAGGATAATAGTGTTTTAAAAAATCCAGTTACCTATCCCCTTGTGGGTAAATGCCCAGCCAAACAGGGTTGACCCAAAGCAGGGCCGTGAAGGCCTAAAAGCCTGCCACAAGTCTAAGTCACCTTCTGGTGCAGACCCACAGGAAAGGGGCAGAAGGGACTAGGCAAGTCTGGAAGGAAAGGAGCAAAATCAAAGAACAAGTCAAAATAAAGGCTGCCTTTGTCAGCCTCCTCAAGGTCTCTCACCTATATCTCTTTGTCTCCTTCCATGTTGCCCAAGTCCGCAGTGCAAGTTCAAGGCTGAGAATCAAGCTATATGTGTAGCTTCTTCACATGTTTCTCTGCTCCAAGTGCTTCCTACAAGTCTCCTATATTCCGTCTTCTCTCCCAAGTCCTTTTTTATGTTTTTACTCTTTTTTTTTTTTTTTTAGTTTTTTTAAAGAATTATTTATTTTATACAAGAACCCAGATACAGGCCAGATGTGCGGGAGAATGAGAGGATTCGCCCGAGACAGAGTGGAGAACAGAACAGGCAGGCTGATGAAATACACTGCTGAGGGGAGCAGCGGGTGAGACAGGAGAGGTCTGCCGCGCCATGTGGGAATCTCCACGGCCAGCGGGAATCAAACCTGCACTGCAGAGGCTGCAG